GGTCACTGTCTTCTATGGCTAAAAGCTCATTATCAGTCTCTCTGGGAGAGAGCTTTAGTAACTGAACCCTACATAGATCAGGTACTGTGCAAGGCCCTTTCATAAAGCTCATCTTATTTAACCCACCCAGGGAGGTAGAGACTGTAATTCCCACTTATGAATGAAAAAAACTGAGAGTCAGAGAAGTTCCCAGCTTTACTCCTGAGCTAATAGTAATAAGGGTCGGTATTTCAAAACTGGACAGCTCAGCTTCATGGCTCTTTATCTTTCCCTTACTGCTCTCCTTGCCAAATTCTCCAAAAGAAGTTAAATCAAGAACACTCTCTATTCCTTTAGATTGTGGGTATTCCCTCCAAGGGGCAATAATTCAAGGTATTCAAGGTATTTTCAGACAAAAAGACAAAAAAAAAAAAAAAAAAAAAGGACTCAGGACAAATGCACCAAACTGTCCTCTCTCCTCAATGGATCAAGCTGAGCTTACTAGGGTGCTGGTCTCTTCACCCACTTCTCTTCTCACTCTTCATGAGAACCCAGTGGGATCAGAATGCAGGGCTGTGCAACAGACAAAACGAATAGTCAATTCATCTGCATATGTGCTTCACTGGGCCCACAGTGGTTTTCTAAAAATGAATCAAATCCATACATTTCACATAAAAAATTTCTATTTTGTGGCAATCAGAGAGTCTCTCAACCCTAGACCCACCTTTGTGGTAGCATTCAGCCAAAGCTTAGTGGTCTCAGTTCCTTTTGATAAGCCATGGGCTCTTGAGTTCTTCACAGTTCCTACCACTCTCTATCATTTCCATAAACTAAGGCCATTGCAGATGTAATTTTTCATTATGTCTATGTTATTGTTTTTTCCTATGTAGAGAAATATTTCTCCAAATCCTATCTCTTTTGACAGATTGAACAATTGGTTTCAAGTCCTCACCCTTCCTCGTATCTGCCCCTTTAAAATGTTTCCTTCATGGGTAGAATGTACTTCCCCAATCCTTGCTTATTTGCTCAGCCATGTGCCTTGCTTTGGCCTGTGGGATGGGGTGAAAAAGTGTCAGCTTAAATCTAGACTTTATGAGACCTTGCATGTTTTTGTTTACTCTCTTGTGCCTCTGCTACTATCATCAGAAGAGTTTTCCCTAAGTCACTGACACCCCTTCAGCCTGAGTCTCAGAATAAACATGTGGAATGGAGCTGCTCCAGCCACCTACAGACCTGCAGTGAGAAACAGGCATGCCCACTCAATCCTACCCTGGAGAGGCTGAGCCACTTAGCCTGAAAAATCTGTGAGAATAACTACTGATGCTTTAAATTCAGTGAGTGTCGGGATGATTTGCTACACAGTATTATTATTGCAATTGCTAACTGATACATCTCTACCAAAAAGAAAAATTAAAAGAGAGGCTGAAAGAATGAGACATCATAATTTTTTCTTACATGCAAACCTGTTTGTTATTTATGCTAATAGCCTAGACCCTGAAGTCATCTGAGTTTGCAACTTCTGCAGAAAACTATAAACCTAAGAACTAAAGAAAGTTGGGTTTGTGAAATGTTTCTTAGCATGGCTATATATCTAGATTGGACTAAAATGGCCCAGTTTTTGCCTGTTGCTATTATGTCCTGGTTTGAATATATACAATTTTGTCTCCAATTTTAATAACAGGTTGAATTCCTTCAATCTCTCCTTTGGAGCCTTATCCAACAGCCACTATTGTTGCAGGATATACTCTACCTGAGATTTCTCTGGATATGATACCTATTTGGTTGGTTGAAATCAAGAAGTCAGTATGTCCAACCATTACAAAAAAACTAATGAAGAAAAAAATCAAATTTAGTAGGTGCCAATCCCATAACTATCAACCAATCAACCAGTCAACCACCTAACCAACCAAACCAGATCCTAGTTGACAGACACTCATTAAAAGTCTTAAGAAGCTAACTCATAAACAGGAAATACTTAAAACAACAGTAAGATTAAAAATTCAAATGCCCCAAAAAAGGAAAGTTCTGTCTTCAAAAGGCAGTAATTATTCCATCTGAGTATATCTGCTTAACAATCCAAGAAAGTGGGAGTTTCACTCTCTATTAACCTTAACCAGAAACATTTTCATCAAAATTAATCGTGATTACTTTTTATTGCATTTCAAATGCTATCCTTTATTTGGGGTGGTCAGGAATGCAACTAAGCAATTCCAGACTATGCTATCTTTTATGAATAAGTCTGTGAGGTAGTTATTAAGGCCCTTTATAAAAATATTGCTATGCAAAAGTTCATGAGTCAAAATAAGACATTAATTTCCACACTAGATGTGTCCTTAGAAAAGAAATGACTATATAAAGAAATGACAGCAACTTTGATGCTCTACATATAACAGAATAGAACTGTATAAATACCCACATATATCATAGACAACAATTTCACAAAATGTTCCTTTTAATTCCTTGTTATCATAATAACAGTTAATCATTAACACTTACTGTGAGCATAGATTGTGCCAAGTACAATTCTAAATTCTCTGTATGCATGGTCTCTTTAATCCTCAGAGCAATTATGAAGTACATGTAATTATGATTAATCCCATTTTACAGATGAGGAAACTGAGGCCAAGGGAGAGTAAGTCATCTGCCTAAGGACATTCAGTTAGTGAATTCTGAAACTTGGAATAAATCCTGGGCATTCAAGCTCCAAAATCAGTTAAAGAAAGATAGTAATACTTGAGTCACTGAAAACCATACTCAATTTGTCTGTTATGTTTTGTGTCCTGACTGTACCTTGCTCTACTCAGACTCTGCCTTTGCTGATGGTTCTCCTGCCTGGAGTGCCGTTCCTACTGCTGCATCCCTCCCATGTCGGACTCATTCAGCTCTAACCTCAACCACTTCATGAAGACTCTCCACCACTTGACAGTTTTCTTGCCATTCTCTTATAACTCTTCTCCAGAACTGTAACCATCTAAAGATGGTTGTGGAGTAATCTTGGGGCAAGTTATATAACCTCTCAGAGCCTCCTTCTTCTCATATATCAAATGGGATAGCGGTTAATCCACCCCATATGGTGGCTGTAGTTCATCTCTGTAGTTTTACTATCCAGCATCCCTTCTAGTAACATACTCCTTTCTTTATTGTGGGAGGTCACCTACTCCCACACTCAGCCCATATGACTTGGGTGTGGCTAGCCCCTATCCCCTAAGCTCTAGGTGATCACACCCTGGCCTGGCCAATATATGCATTCTTTCATTCTTTGAACTTTTGCTAAAACCACTAAGAAAGAACTTTTCTCCTCCCTCAGGGTGACTGCACTCACAATGGAGGGTGACTGCTGATGGCCATGGTTGGCATCACTGTGGACAGCTTTCCTAAGAATCAAAGCAACAAAGAACAGAGTGCAACTGTGAGTAGGACAGAGACAGATTCCTGATGCCACTGTTGGAATATCTGAAGGAAGTCAGGCCTGAAGTCCATCCTTCAGTTAATTGTCCTTTGCAGTTAACTGATTCCCCTTTCCTCTCTTCTGCTTAGTAAAGACTGAGTTGCATTCCTGGTACTTGCAACTAAGAGTCCCAACTAACTCAGTTCATATAAGAATTACACAGGTGCCACAGTACCTAGTATACTGAAAAGTTCTATAAATGATAGCTACTACTGGTAGGGTTCCTCTACCTTAGTGTCTTGAAGGCAGGGAGACCCAAAGTCAGGTATACTTCTACTCTTTACTAGCATGTCGCTTCATAACTTTTCTGAGATTCCAGTTTTACCATACATAAAATGACCAACATTGTGGTGAAGAAAACATGAGATTGTATGCCTGACAAGGCAATAAAATGTTCTACAAATTTTAGTTCTCATTATCTCAGTCTATAGTCTCCAATCTAATATCTCATATGACTGGTGGGGAAAGTAAGGCCCAAAATCCTGGGACAAGAACATGAAGGTAGCTGTAGATTCAAATAAGCTACTGGTCTGTGTTGAGGTGGTCCCATGCCTGAACAAACAATCTGATGTTACTATTGTGCAAACCAAATCAGGCATCCAAGCAAAGGGGTTTGAGTGAAACCATTAAGGCAGCTGCAGGACACAGAGGAAAAAGAAACTAATATTGACTAAGTAACCTCCATGTTCCATGCTTTGTGCAAGACATTTCCCTGTATCTCCTACTAGAATAATTACTTATTTCTCTTTTGGTCAATTAAAAAGATGAACTGTGAGTACATATTGAAACTATCTAACTTCTTCTATCTCCAAGGAGGAAACCTAATATATAACTAGAGAAAGACACTAATTAATAAGCAAAATGTAACATGAACTCTGGCCAACTTGAACTACTATGTTTAAAGGCACATTGGAATAAATAAAGGAACTTCAAAGCAAATGCCCTGCTTTAGCATGAATGTTTTATTGAGTACATGGGGAGAGCTCCTTTGCCAAAAATAGGGATGGTTAATGAGGAAGAATTGGTGTTTTCAGTCAGCCAGTTGGTTTCTCAGATAGGGGTGTCCGTTCAGAGATAACTATATTCTACAGAGAAGACAGAATAATGATCTGCCTCAGAGCATCAGAGTTTTGAACAAAACAAAACCAGTTTTGTAAACTATCTGAAAGTATCCTTTTTCAAATACCTTCTATGATAACACGCATACATTTCCCTTCTACAAACGCCAAAGCCACTTAAATATAATTCTAAAAGGAGGACATTTCTATGTTTTAAGCTTCTTGCCAACTTTATAAATGCAGCCCTTACTTTTTAGGATGAAGGATAGGAACCAAGAGGCTCTGTGCAGTATTAGATTTTCTACCATAATCAGCTCTTCTTGGGCACCATTCTGAAAATGATACTCCACACTTGTAAAGACATGTTGGGTTCTCTGGGAGTACACAGTTAGTGCTGGACTCAGAGCTAAGGCAAGCCCCCCATTTCTGTGCATATTTTTCCACAGCAATGGATGCATTTCAGAGAAAGTCAATCTCCAATTATTTAGGTATAAAGAGGAGAAGCCTCAGCTCACCTGCAAATGCTGTGAATTATCAGCCATGCTATCCTCTCGCCTGCGGACTTCTTCCAGTAACTGGGCATTCTTCTTTTTTTCCAACTGTTGGTTGTGCTTGAGGTTGGCCACCTTCTTATTCTGATCCTTCATATGCCTGAGAAAAGTCAGAAGAGTGAAGTCAAATTCAACCACTGGAAGGTCATATGTTATCACAACATGAGTACTAAGGATAGAATATATTGATATGGATTTGGGAAAAGGTGGAACTTCAAATTATTCCACTCATTCAACCACAAGTATGTGTTAAGCACCCACTTAATGCCAAGTGCCAGGATGGGGATGCTGTGGTGAATGAGATATTTATACTCTTCACCCAACTCATGTAACTTGAAATCTAGTGGGAGAGACAGACCAGTACCAAGGAGACACAACTTAGGTTTCCTAAGGTGGGGGGAGGGGGGAATAAACTGCATGCTGTACCAGTTGATGACGTGCATTGAACGTGTGGAAGGGCATGGAGTGGGGGCATTCCTTTAGGCACTGTGGCCAAGAAACCTCCCTAAGGTGGCAAAAATATTGGGTAAGACTTCAAGGAACCAGCCAAGAAGTCACCAGTAGAGATGCTCCGCAAGTACAGGGAATAGCAAGTGCAATTCCCAAGGCAAGAAATGACCAACACTACTTCTAAGAACTGGAAGGCTGCAGTGAACCTAGCCCAGGGCGAAGGGGAAAAGGGATAGAACCTGGGACTGCAAAGGTAAGCAGCACTCAGGGAACACAGGGCCCCTGGTCTGTGACGGAGCATTTATTTTCTTTTAAGTGGTTGCTCTTTTAATTATTATTATTCTTTTGGATCATGTTCCTATTCTGAGATCATGATCCATTACTTTGATTTTAAAATAACAATTACAAGGTTCCAATCAAATACATTGTCATCACTTAGCTCAAACAGAATAACAATTTGGGTAATCATCATGTTAAGTAAAGCCCTGGTGTTCAGAACAAAAGTTCTTAATGGATCTACAGGATGTCAAAGTGCAAAATCATAAAGTAAGCAAGAGAGTAAAAGACTAAGGACAACGGATGGGTTAACAGAGTGCGGGGAGGAGTTACAGGCGTAATGTGGCCTATTTCACCAGCAGCCTTTAGCAAAAACATTCCACAGATTTAGGTAACCATGTCCATGGCAGCTGGTATAAATCTAATTCCACGGTGAGGACTGCAGCAGGAGGACAGTACAGAAGGCTTAGGAACAGTGATTCCAAAAGAGGAGGGTTGCAGAGCAGAATCTTTTGGGATCCTTCCTGATCCCTCTCCTCCCCAGTATTGCTAAGTCATCTGTTGTCAACGAGCCCTGATTCCCAGAGCAAGCAAGAGAGAATCACTGCTCTCGTGGAAATATGCACAAGATGAGAATAGATGATACCCTGCAAACATGTCAAATTGAAACAATTACTAATCAAATGGAAGATACTCTCAATAAGAAACTTTTACTTCTAGTCCTCATAAAATTATATACTCTGCTACTCCCTTCCACTCCAAGAAAATGAAGTTCAAGAGAATTGTTTAAGCTAAACGATTTCTTCTATCAGGAATCCTACTAATTAAAATATTCTGAACACTGGTCTTTATTAATATTTACAGTACCTGCTAAAGCAGTGATTTAGGTATTCCTAGTGACACTTACTAAGAGGATTATGGTGAGAGAACAGCCATCTACTTGGTCAACACTGGGATTAGATAATTTTTGTCCAATATTTCCTTATTTCTACGCAATACAGTAAGGTACATATCTGAAACTATCAACTCAAGTCTACATGCTAATCTTCTTTTAGGAAATTACCTTTTGGTTACTACAAAGATGTTAAGAACAACTTCTTGCTTCCTAATTTAACAAGGATATGTATTTCAAAACTCATGCCAATGTGGGGTAAGCATACTTCCCAGTTCAGGAAATAAGGTCAGTGCCCAGTAAAAGGATGTGATGGAGAGGTTAGTGTTATTAGAGAGATTGTTTAAGTAGAGGACATTTTTATAAAGAAATACTTTTTATATCTTTAAAGCACACATTTAATGACAACCAACTGCTGAACGTTTTTTACTCCAAGTAACAATGATAAAGAAAATAGACTATTATCATGAACATCATTTGCATAATGAACTCCCACAAAGTTCTTGAGGCAGTCTGAACATATACAGATCTTATTTTCAGGAATATTGCAGTGTTTTTTCAATCCAAAAATAAAAAACAAACAAATCTCCAAATCCATGCATCCCTTAAAGCTTTTTGTTCTAAAAAAATGTTTAATTTTTATTTTTGAGAGAGAGAGAGAGAGAGAGAGAAAGAGAGAGAGAGCACATGTGCAAATGAGCAGGGAGGGCAGAGAGAGAGAGAGAGGCACAGAATTCAAAGTAGGCTCGAGGCTCTGAGCTGTGTGCATAGATCCTGATGTGGGGCTTGAACTCACGAGCCATGAGATCATGACCTGAGCTAAAGTTGGACACTTAACCAACTGAGCCATTCAAGTACCCCTAAAGTTTCCTGAAATACAAAGGAGTGGCTAAGAAAAATGGAAAACTGAAGTTTGGAGATTCAAATGCTGCCTGACTTAGGACATGAATGATTGGAAAAGAAAAGCTGGGTTCTGAATGGCACTGTTCTGACTTTGGCTACTTGGATGCATGCACAGCAAGGTGATGAAAATTATGATCTTATCTCTGTAGACATAAGCATCAATAGATACATATAAAGTACATACACTCCCTTGCAGAAGTGCTATGGTTTTCAAATGTATTTCTAGCAACAGAACTCTTTCTTTTAGTAAGAGCTTACATGAAAGCAAAAAAGGAAAAGAAGGACTGCTCTGGTTGAGGCAGGAAAGAGGTAAGAGGTAGGGGAGACAGGTGAGCAGAACCTCCCTTACTAGACCGTCAATCTCTCACATATCCCTCAGAGAAGCCAAGGCTACTTGAAAGCACAGGTTCAAACAGCTTTTTATGGGGTAAAAGGAGAGGGAGGGAGGGAGGGAGGGAGGGAGAGAGGCAGAAAGAGAATTCATGAAATTTAAAAAGATGAGATCCCCTGGTAAAAAGAAAATACCTCCACAGAAGCTTACTAGACTCTTGCTGAGGGAACAACAAATGTGATTTTTGCTAGTAATAACTTCAGCATCTCCAAGAATGAAATCTGTAGGTGACTTATCAGTTCTGGGTTTCCTCCCACCTGCAGAAGTAAACCCACATGCATAAATAAACTGTGCTAAACTCAGTACATCTCTCATTTGTACTAAACTCCGGAAGGTAGAACCTCTGGGGTGCCGAATACAAAGTCCTCTGGCAATAATGCCTGAGAAGAAAGTGTCATTGATACCCACTTCCCAAATTCCCACCCACTAGGCAACTCAGATTCTAAGGCTCTGAGACTGACCTGCTCCATGTTTGGAAATAAAGATTCCTAGGGGTAAACTTTTTTTCTCCAGGGAAACACATTAAAAATATGTCCAAGATGCAATTTTTTTTTAAAAAGCAGTTATAGGGGCACCTGAGTGGCTCAAATGGTTAAGCATCTGACTTCAGTTCAGGTTGTAATTTCAGCCCACCCCATGTTGGGCTCTGTGCTGACAGCTCAGAGCCTGGAACCTGCTTTGAATTCTTTGTCTCCCTCTCTCTCTGCCTCTCCCCTGCTCATACTGTGTCTGTCTCTCTATCTCTCAAAATTAAATAATAAACATTAAAAAATTTTTTTAAAGCAGTTATGACGGAGGGGTTACATGGAAGTTGGTTGGAGAGTACATCGGTAGGGTCCATTTTCATCATTCAATTTAAATTGGCTAGTGTTATTAAACAAGTCATGTCACATCATTAAGGAATTTGGATTAAATTAAAAAAATTCTAATAGGTATCAAGATCAATGATGGTTACTACATTAGGAATGAATATCAGAGAGGACAGAATTCTGCTATTTTTCACTAGAACAGCTAATCAAATTAAAATTAAAATTAGAAAGTATTCCCTAACCTATTGGTGAGAGAGTATCAGACTTTGTGGCCTCTAGAATCACATAGCTGGGAGGGAGTGTGGAGTAAGAGGTACATATGTTACTTTAAGCTCATGTCTATACTGTATATAAAGGAGAAAAATAAAAACTTTTTTTCTTATCTCAGCAGAAGCAAGATGCCATTTTTTTAACCTATCTTTTCTCATACATTTTAAAAGACTGGTAATGTCCATTGTTGGAGAGGATGCCAGAAGCTAGTCCTTTCATATATGGTCAGGAGGAGTATAACTGACAAAATTGGTTATAAAATTATAAACTAATTTGGCAGTATCCACCAAAGTATCCATACCTTTTTCCCAAGAAAACCCATTTCCAGGAAAGTAGCCTACAAAAATGTCTGCACATATGCGTGAATATTTATGTACAAAAATTCATTATACCACTGTCAAAGTGAAAATTTGAAAACTGCCAAATCATCCATCAGAAGGAAACTGGCTGAAGAAATCAAATACATTCATACTCCAGAACTCCAAGATAGCTAAGAAGTTTAAGGCAAAACTAAAGTATGGACATGGAAAACCTTTAAGACATATTGTTAATAAAAAAAAAAAAAAACGAAAGAAAAAGCAGGTAGCAGAATAATACATATAGTCTGATCTTATTTATGTTAAAATAAAAAAGCCTATTTGGATGTATATATACACATATCCATGGAAATGGAAACTGCAGTAAACATTGTACCACTGAGGAACAGAATGGATCAGGGAAGAAGGGGGAGCTCCCATGTGTTACCATATGCACGTATGTGTGTGTTTAAGTGAGGCATAAATACATATAAGAAAAACACAGATATTAGGTGTAAAAATCAATGATTTTTGACCAATCAAAATGTAGAGCATTGCCCCCACCCAGCCTCATGTCTCTGCCCCTTGACAGGAAGTAATCGCTATCCCAGCTTTTATCTGCATGGATTTGTTTTGTGGGTTCCTGAACTTCGTATACATGGACTCATACAGTACATGCCCTTTTGTGTCTGACTTCTCTGACTCAGTGTAAGGTTTTTGAGACTCATTCATACTGCGCCTAAGTAGTGGTATTCCATCATATGAATATACTACAGCTTGATTACCTATTCCCTTATTAAATGGATATTTGGG